GAATGAGACCCATCATTGTTACTGGTATTTGGCATATTGGGTACGCCACGGGGAGTTTGCCAGACTCTGCCGTGTGGGCAGGCTACATTCGGAAGCCTGCCAGTTTGTCAAAGTAGGAATGAGATGTCATAATAAAATGTCACGCCGCCGTGAATGGGGCCACGCGGTTCCGGGATCTGGTTTTTATAGTCTCTGAGTCTTGGCCGCTGATGGGATTACACGGCGCCAGGGGACCAGTTGGTGGGTGTGACCCCCACCTACTGGAATTTGGAGGATCTGGGTGGAGGATGCTCGACTCCAATCCGAGTAGGCTTGGAGATCTCGGCCCCGGAACCCACGTGGCTTTGTCCCTCTGCCGGTTCCTTCAGTTGTGCGGAGAGTGGTCTCAGCATGGTGGTGTCTGGTCCTGGAGGTCGTTGGCTGCCGGAGCCCTGGTCGGGACAGGGAGGAAAGCTCAACCCGCTCCCTCCAAGGGGCCACGGCGAGGAACAGCCAGGCGCGGGGGCAGGAGACTGGATTTATTACTTCTCAGAAATTCCACTGCCATGGACCCTCTCCTATCTACCTGCTGCCCCACCTCTTCCTCAGCACTATCAGCTTCTCCATCTCCACCTCCGTAACCTGTCTCATCACCCCCGCCACTATCACCTGCCCCCCAGAATCTGCTGCCTCCGCCTCCGTTGCCTCCAGCACCTCTCTCTCCTTCACCTGACCATCTCTCCCATTGTCTCCTGAGCTCAGGTGAGAGGTACAGGACCCCGTCTTGGGCCTCCACATTGTCCTTTCCAGCCTCGGGCGGTGGGGGGAGGGAGGGTTTCTTAAAGGCTGGCCAGAGCTGAGTCTGCTTCTTGAACCCAAGACCAGACCAGTGAGTCTGGGTCTGCCACACGGGCTGGGCACCAGGCGGGGTTAAGGAGGCGAAGGCACTGGTATATGTGGGTCAGCCCTCACTGGAGGCGAGCCAGAGCCTCTGAACTGCAGCAGGAAAACCACGCAACCTAAACAGCTGGTCATTTCTGCAGTGGCGGGCAGGAGACAGGTGGAGGGTGAGGTCAGAGCAGACCCGCGGTGTGTGTGTGTGTGTGTGTGTGTGTGTGTGTGTGCAGGGATCGGGTTTGGGTCAGGAGAGGCATAGGAATGGGTGACTGTGGCCCTGGCAGCTGAGCTGGTGAGCCATGGGAGACCTGGCCCTGGCGTGCCTGGGGCAGAGGCAGCGTCCCATCTGCCATCTTCCCTAGGAACCCTTCAGCATGGCCCAGAGCTAGCTGTGCTGGGAGTGCAGGCTGAGTGGTACTGTGTGTACTTGTGTGTGCTGTGTGCTGTGTGTGCTGTGTGCTATATATGCTGTGTATGCTGTGTGTGCTGTGTGTGCACTGTGTGTGATTTGTGTGTGCTGTGTGTGCTGCATGACCTGTATGTGCTGTGTGTGCTGTGTGTGTGCTGTGTGTACTGTGTGTGCTATGTGTGAACTGTGTGTGCTGTGCGCGTGCGTGTGCTGTATGTGCCGTGTATGCTGTGTGTCGTGTGTGCTGTGCGTACCATGTGTTCTGTGAGTGCTGTTTGTGCTGTGTGCTGTGTGTACTGTGTGTACTGTGTGTTGTGTGTGCACTGTGTGTGCTGTGTATGTCGTATATGCTGTGTGCCATGTGTGCTGTGCGTACCATGTGTTCCGTGTGTGCTGTGTGTGCCATGTGTGCTGTCCGTATCGTGTGTGCTGTGTGTGTGTGTGTGTGTGTGTGTGTGTGTGTGTGCATGCAGGCAATCTTCTGTCGTTGTGGGATCTGGTCCCTTCTGCCTCAGGGCTTGCAGCTTGTGAGTTCAGCAGTGCTCTGTCTGACTGGCCAGCCTCTGCTGTCGCGAGCACTGACTTGACCCTCCTGCCCAGGCTGCTCTCCCACCTGGACCCCCGGTTTCATCTGCCCCTCTCAAGCATGTCTCTCTTGGGACAGCAGCACCCCCCAGAGTACGTCACACGTGTCTCGACCGAGCAGCCCACGGCCAATGTGTGTCCTTTCTCTTGGCCGGGGTCTGTCTCGCCGGGGTGTGTGCATGACGGGGCGGCATCGTGAGAGGCTGTCCTGGCCAGGACTTCATGCAGAACACTGGGGTGCGCTCTCACCCAGGGCTATCCCCTCCCTGCCCAGAAAGAGTCGGGCTCCACCGGGCACTGTGCTGAGTCTGGGCTGCCGGACCCCGACGCCCCGTCTTGGCTCTGCAAAAAGTTCCTCTGCTGAGCTCCCAGCCACTGCCAGGCTGGTGCGGCCAAGGACTCTGGATACTACTGACATTAGTTTTGAACTTTGTTATTGATATAATATACCAACATCACAACCCCCACCAGAGAGAGGGTGTGTTCCTGTGTCCCCCTTAGCAGCTGCCCTCCCCCTCCCAAGTTCAATGCCATGGAACAGGCTCTTTTCCTACCAGTGTCTTTCTAGTCCACACAGGAGAGGTCACTGTGTCTGTCCCCTTCCTTCTGACTTACTTCACTCAGCCTGAGACTCCCCAGCTCTGTCCACGGAGCAGAAGATCACAAGAGTAGAGCCATACAGTATCCTGCTGTGTCTATGTACCATAGTTTCTGCACCCAGTCCTCTGTTCTGGACTCTTGGACTGTGAGTTTCCTGATTTTGGCCATCGTGAATAGTGTCCCAATGAACACAGGAGTGCAAATATCGTTTCGGAACAGAATTTTTGGGCTCTTGGGGTAGATGTCCAGAAGTGAAAATGCTTACCTGCTCAGAAGCTTAATTCCTAGGTGTTTTCTTTTGAATTGTTCATATTGTTTTCCAAAAAGGCTGGAATAGCTGTATTCCCACCAGCAGTGAGTGAAGGTTTCTTTCTCCCGTGTCCGTGTCTGCTCTGGCTGTGTTTGCTCTTCAGGATGAATGCGAGCTCTCTGTGTGAGGTGGTACCCTATTTCCCTGATGATAAGTGATGCAGAGGACTTTTTCCATATACTTACTGGCAAGCTACCGAGAATATCTCGCCCGCACGGCAAAATCTGGCAAGCTCCCCATGACATATTCGATATGCCAAACACAGTAACAAGTCTCACAATGTTACTTGGCCTGTTCAAGCAAATCGATGAACAATGGGAGGACAGTGACAGTGACAGTGACTTACTGACCATTCTATTATTCTTCGAAGACACTTGTTTGTCTCTTTCCCCTTTTTTTAATGAAGTTGTTTGTCTTAATTTTTTTCAAGTGTTTTTTAAAAATATATTTTGGATATTACCTCTTTTTCAGATGAGGGGTGGGCAAATATTTTTTGGAATGTCTTTCTATTGTGGTCATGGTGATGCAGAAACTTAATTTGAGACAGTATCATTTGGTTACCTTTGCTTCTTTGCTTCTTTGCTTTGTTTGCTTGGCCAACGGCTTTGGGATTTCTGGACTGTTGATCTCTGTAGAGGAGGGCACAGCGTTGTTCATCCTGCCCTCTGCTCCAGTGTGGCCAGCCGGTGCCAGGAGGAACTGTGGGCAATTTCCTGGACAGCAGGCAGCACTTAGGGAACAGAAACCAGGACCCCAGCTCTCAGAGGCTGCTAATGGGGTCTCAAGAGAGTGCTGTGGGGCTGGAGGAAATCTCTTGAGTCGGGTGAGGGGCCTGAGTACAATAGGCTGGGGCACTTGAGATGGGAATAGCTTATTCCTGGGTCCCAGTATGGGAGTGTGGCTCTGCTGTGGCCTTCCCACAGCCCTTCCTGACCCTGGGTGTTGGTCCTTAAATACTGGGCAGCCCTGGGCCATGGCCTTCCAGCTGAAGCAGCTTTGAGGTGCTGTCTGGTGGTCCACCCCATCTTTTCAGCCTGCCCGCCCTGGCCCTGGGGTGCGGTCTGACTTCCAGTAGAGCCTTGAAGACCTGCTGGCACCTGCCCCACTCTTTGTTTTTCTTTTCTTTCTGGGTCACACCCGACCGGAGATGTTCAGGAGTTATTCCTGGCTTTCCACTCAGGAATTACTCCTGGCAGTGCTCAGGGATGCTGGGATTCGAACCCGGGCTGGCCGCGTGCAAGGCAAACTCTCTACCCACTGTGCTATCACTCCAGCCCCACCTGCCCCACTCTTGGTGGTCTCAGCAGGTGCTGGCATCTGAGCTGGGGGCCGGCAGACAGCATCCTCTCTCCCCTGTGCTGTCAGCCAGTTTGGAGGCCGGGAAAGCAGTGGACCTTAAATAGCGCCCTTCCGGTGGAGTGATTCAGCTGTCTGGGAAGGGTGTACTTCTGGCTGTGATATCCCCTCATCCCTAGACTGCAGCATTGCTGTGGGGGTCTCCAAAGCACCATCCCCCACTCAGAGCTGGGGGCTTGCCAGACAGACCCCTCCCCATGCTGTTTGATCTGATCCAGGAGGGAGGGTTCTGGGTGGGGAGCATCTCTCATGGGGCCCCATCTCTGACCTGCTTGGTGGGCTGTGGGCACCGCAGGGTGCAAAGGTCCCCTCTTGGGAACTCAGGACTATGTCCAGTAGGGGTGGGGGAAGACAGAGGTGACGGCAGAGGGCTGGTCTGCAGCTCCCTCTCCTCACTGGACCAGTCCCCTCTTCCCTGCTGGTCGAGCAGTTTGCTTCTGGTTTGGTTCTGTTTTTTTTTTTTTCTTTTGGAGGGGGGGTGGGGGTGGGGATGGCAGGGCAGGAGATTTGGGCCACACCTTGCTATGCTCAGGGGACCATGTGTGCTGGGGGCGGGGGGTGGCACCTGGTTTAGCTTTGCGCCAGGCAAGCGTCTTGCCGCTGTCTTGTCTCTCTGGCCTCAGGGAGCTCGAGTGTCCCGAGGGGCCCCGGCTGACCGTGGTACTCAGGTCCCCGGCATCCTCTGGCCAATAAGGACCAGCGCTCATTAGGGCTTGGCCAGGCGCGGTGCAGGAGCCTGGAGGGGCGTCCAGCAGCCGCGTCCTGCAGCGCGTCCCGGAGGGGGGGGCGGGGCTGGCACGCCCCGAGGAAGGGGCGTCGGGCTGCGCGCATCCTCCAGCCGTCCTGGGCGCGGTGGGTCCCGCCATGGGCACCGTGCAGCTGCTCCCGCTGCTGCTGCTGCTGCTGCTGCTGCTGTTCTGCGGTAAGGCCCTGCGGGGGCGCGGGCAGGGGACTGGCCGCGCCTGGACAGCCCGAGTGCAGCGCGCCGCGGGGCCGAGTCCTCCCGCCCCGCGCGCCGCGGGCCCTGCCCCGCTGCTGCCCTCGCCCTCATGCGTGCGCGCGCGTCTGTGTGAGCGCCTGTGTGTGCGTGTCCACGTGTGCATGCCTGCGCATGCATGTGTGTATATGCACAGGCAGCTGTGCTTGCGTGCCCACCCAATGCGTGTGCCCGTGTGTACACGCGTGTTTGTGTGTGCGTGTGTCCACCTGTGCCTCTGTGCAGATGTGCATGCGTTGCCGCGTGTGCACGTCTCCATGCACTGCTCATGTGTCCAGGTGTTCTCGTGTGTGCCCGGCAGAGCAGCCCCTGGTCTCCGTGCAGCTGGCGGGTGTGGGGTTCCGGGGCTGCTCTCTGAGCCCCCTGCCCTCCATCCTGTCAGCCAGGAAACACCCCGAGGGAGGAAACGGTGCTTATGCAGAGGGAGAACTGGATTTGGATTCATCCAAAACTCGCTCTGAAAAAAAAACAACCAAATCTCTCTCCAGGGATTGTCTGAGCAGCAGGAAGGGCGCCTGTGCGAGGAGGTGGGGCTGGGGCGTGCAGGGTTCAGGCTGCCCAAAGCCCGAGCCTCCCACCCCTGGACGGCAGCTGCGTGGGGGCCAGGGGCTCCGGCTTCCCATAAGGGTCCTGTCCTTGGGAGCGTGAGGTGTCTGACTTCCTTTGGCTGGTCAGTTTCCGGCCGGGTTGAGTCCGTGGGCGATGGTCTGGAACTCACTGTCTAGCAGGAAAGGGTGGCCCCCTGGAGTCCAGGAAGGCTCCCAAGGCAGCTCCCGGAGGAAGTGTGGGCCACCTCCAGCAGTCTTTGTGGCTTAGGGCTCAGGGCTCTCGCACGCCAGGTGCCCCCCACCCCCAATCTGGCCCTCCCACAGCAGGGAGCCCTGGCAGCTACCAACAGTCCCCAAGGCAGGGTAGGCTGTGGGCTGTGCTGCCAGGACCACCAGAGTCACCGCAGCCGGCTAGCTGGGCAGCAGAGGGAGGGAGGGGCCCAGCGCTGAGGGCAATGCAGGGAACGGTGGAACTTGGGGCCCCAAAGCTGGGATAGGCTGCGGGGGTGGAGGGGCCGCTGCTGCTAGAAGGAAGACCCCAGGGCCACAGCCACGGGTTCTCTGGCTCTTGCCCCCTGTGGTCCCTGAGCTGCCCGCGTGTGGGCCCTGACCTGGTGACACTAGTGCCCGCGGGAGGTCAAGGCCAAGCCACAGGGCTCTGCAGGGCCATCGGGGAAGGACTCTGGCACTTTTAACCTTTAAACTACTTTATTTTAGGCACCATGGCTGTAATACTGTCAGTGCCAGGGCTGCTTGCGTAAATCATTCCAGCACTCCAGCACACCTCTCTGCGCTGGACCATCCACTTCCTTCCTACCTGTTTTACGTGACCCCGCCACCCCATTAAACTAAATGAAACGTGCTCACCCTTGTTGAAAGGGGCAAGTCTCCACCCCTCTCTGAAGCCCTGGGAGGAGATCCTCCTGTAACCCAGGAACTGACCCCCCCTTTCCTTTCCTTTCTTTTTTTTTTTTGCTTTTTGGGTCACACCCGGTGAAGCACAGGGGTTCCTCCTGGCTCTGCACTCAGGAATTACCCCTGGCGGTGCTCAGGGGACCATATGGGATGCTGGGAATCGAACCCTGGTCAGCCGCATGCAAGGCAAACACCCTACCCGCTGTGCTATCGCTCCAGCCCCATTCCTTTCCCTTTTCTAAAAATAAAATAGTTTCTGCATCTGGCCATTTAGCCGCCGGGTCCTTTGCCTTCGATTCTGACCGCGAGAGAGCCGTGGATCCCACACAGAGAGAGTGACCGACCACTGCCTTTCCTCAGTGTGATCCTCGTCCTTTTCTGAGATATTCTTTTCTCTTTGGGGGTGTGGGGTGGGCAGGGAAAGCAGTGCTCAGGGCTCACTTCTGGGAGGGCTCGGGGGCTCTATGCAGTGCCTGGGATTGGAGTTGGGGGCCTTCCCGCCACGTAACCTTTCTGACCCCATCTGTCCTTTCCACTGAGGCAGAGCACCAGTGTAGCGGGTAAGGCCTTGCCTTGCCTTGCAGCGGGCCCCCCCGGGCCCCCAGGAGAGACCTCTGAGCACTGCCAGGTGTGGCCCCAAACAAAAGCAATCCTAGGGCTTTGGCGTGCCCAAAGCTCCTCCTCTCCTCCACGTTGTAGGCCGCAGGTGTTTGGGGACCCCCGGGACCCCAAAGGACGAGGGTGCCCTCTGGGGCAGAACCTGGCACAAGTGCATTCCAGCCTGCTGCGGCCAGGCTGCCCAGGAATCCCAATCCCACAGGCAACTGCCTCTAGGGGAGGGGGGCCAGCACAGGCCCTCTGCCTGGAGCTGTGGGATGAGTGGGAGTCTCCCTTTGTAGCTGCTTCAATCCCAAGCCCCTCGAGTGTTTAATGTTTCGAAGCCTCAGTTTCCCTACTGCAGCACTGGTTCAGAAATGACCACCTCCGAGGGCGGTTGTGCATGTCATTTTGATTTGGCTCAGTTCCGTCCGGTAAAGGCTGAGCATGGGAATGTGGGGGAAGGGGCTCACGCTTGAAAAGGGGCTGATGGAAAAATCCCCCAGTGTCTGTGCCACGTTCCGTGGGCTCGGAAGTCTGCTGACACCTGGGCTTAGTTCCTTCAGCCCGAGAAGGGAACATGCTCTGTGTAGGCCTGGGACAGCGACCGCTCATCAAGGATGTGCTGCTGCCAAGTTCAGGCTATTAGGGGTCCCGCAGCCCAGGTGAGCTCAGGTGCTGGGACTGCGTGGCGAGGACCCCAGTGGGAATACTCTGTGATTCAACCGAGCTCTCCTCACTTCATGGGACAGGAAGTGGAGGCTGGGGGGTTGCCAAGAACGTAGGACATGGACAGAATCTTCCAGAAGCCCTGGCTCCTGAGAGAAGACAGCCTCGTGCCACAGCCAGAGCCTGCTCACACTGGGGGGATGGTTACTGCTCCTTTGCTTCCCAGGAGGATGAGGCCTCCTGCATGTCACTCCCTCTGGCTCGCCCTAGAAAGACTTTTTCTCAGAAATGCTTCTGTGTGGTGTTGATGGATTCCACAGTCTACCAGGCCTTAGACAAGAGAAATAGGCTGGCGCTGTCTCTGGTGCCCCGACAGAGAGCTGAGGAGGTTTCCTCTTTGTCATGAGTCTGAGTGCTGGGCTGCTGGTGGAGGAGGGGCTGATATCTGCTCTCTTGGTCTGACTGGGACTCTGCATCTGTACCTTGTTGTCACCTTGTTGTCACCAGGTTGGTGAGCTTTCAGGTTTTCCTGGGAGCTCCTTAGGTCAAGGGTATGTTGGAAGGAGTTCCAGAGTGTGGCTGGCACTGGGATGTCCAGTGGGTGTCCCACATGCTGGCCTGGCTCTTCTTTAGCACCCGAAGCATCCTTACAGCCTGACTCCGGCCCTGCCGTGCTGGCCCAGGAGAAAGGAGCCGTCGAGATAGGGAGGTGGGGCAGGGTGACATTGGAGGAGGGAAGCACCACGCTGAGTCTTAGAGATCTTACCGAGACCTCCAACTATAGTTCAGGCAACATGGTTAGTGTTTACTTTCGTGGCTTTGCTATTACACCACCACCACCAAACTGCCAAGAACCTCCACCTCGGCCAGATCCCTTGGAGCCTTCTCCACATGCTCCTCCTGTTGCCTGGTTTTGTAATGAGGCCAAGGGTTTGTCTTCATTTGAGATTGTCTGTAATTACTGGTTTTGGCATATCGAATACACAATGGATAGCTTGCGAGGTTCTGCCGTGCAGGCGGAATACTCTCGGTAGCTTGCCAGGCTCTCCGAGAGGGATAGAGGCTTTTGGGGCAGCCTCTAATCGCCCTTGTAGGTGTTCCCATGGTTCAAACCTTATTTGAACCTTATCAAATGTGGTACGGTAATTCTGGAAGATGGGTATTTAGTGTCTTATAATGTGTGGTCCGGAAAGCGTCCTGGAGCGTGGTGGCGGCTGGGTAGTGGAGGTAGTGGAGGTAGTGGAGGTCTGTCGGTGAGGTATTTATCTGGCACTGGTAGGGGAACTTATCTTGTTCTGTGGGGCTTCAGTCATGTGTGAGTCTTGGCCGGAGCGTCCGGAAAGCGTCCTGGAGTGTGGCAGCAGCTGGGTAGTGGAGGTAGTGGAGGTCTGCTGGTGAGGTATTTATTTGTCTGTACCTAGAGGAATGATATCATCTGAAATTTGTCCTTCTCCTCCTGACTTATTTCATGTGATCTAATACCCTGCAGTTCCATCCAAGCTGTAGTGAGCTGCAAGATGCCATCTTTCCTTATAGCTGCGTAGTATTTCATTGCATATGTAAGTCACAACATCTTAATCCATTTATCGATCGTTGGACCTTTGGGTTATTTCCTTATCCTGAATATGGTGCTCTTAGTGTTCTAATGAGTGTAGGAGTGGGCACATCTTTTCAAATGGACATTTCTGTGTTCTGAGATAGATGCCAGGAGGTGGATTATATGGTTATTCTGGGTTATATGGTTATCTTTTAGTGTTCAAAGAGGTCTCCATACTGTGTTCCACAGAGGCCGAACCAGGTGACATCCCCACCAACTGTGAATGAGATTCCTTTCTCCATACAGTCCTGCCAACACCAGCTCTTTTCAGTCTTTTTGTATGTGGTTCTCACTGGTGTGAGTTCATTGTCATTTTGACTTGCGTTTCCTTGACAACAATGAACACTGTCTCATGCACCTGTTGGCTATCCACATGTCCGATTTAGGAAAGAGTCTGTTTGTAGGCTCTCCTCGCTTTTTGATGATATATATTTAAATATATAGTAATTTATATAACTTGGATATTAGTCCCTATAGCACAGCGGGTAAGGCATTTGCCTTGCACGCAGCCAACATGGCCAACCCGAGTTCGATTCCTCCGCCCCTCTTGGAGAGCCCGGCAAGCTACCGAGAGTATCTCGCCCGCACGGCAGAGCCTG